TTGGGCCTCTCCCTTTCTGCCCTGAAGTCCCTGTTTCCCCAGCTCAGGGGCCCGTCTATCAGCTCTTCCTGCCTCTAACACTGGCCTTCAGGCTTTCCTTAAGGCTTAGTGTGCCACTGATCGAGTGTCATGTTGAGAGGGCTGAGTTTGAGTCCCTGAATCCCTTTACTGGTGTAAAATACACAGTGTGAGATGGGGAGTCTAGGGCATAATCCACTTCCCAATTAGATACCTACAGATTCCTTACAAGTCAGATTTCATAGATCACTTCTCTTACCACATTCTAATGTACCTACCCACCCTTGGGTAAAAATCAAGCTGTCAAAGGTCCCAGGCCCAGTGCAAAGCAGTGTTCACAGTGGCTGTTCTCCACCCCTGCTCTTTCTTTGCCAGGAACTATTTTTCCATGCTGGCAGAGACCAGCCCTGTTCCTGTGCTAGCATAGCAAGCAACACAGACAGGGCAGGAATGAAAGGGAATAGGGCTGTCCAGGGACCAGTAAACAAGGAGTTAGTGTCACATAGCAACACTTCAAGCTCCAGAAGCACAAGGGGCTTGGCCCTGCTTACTGCAACTTGCAGGACCAAGGTTGCTCCTGCACAGCCAGGAGCACAACACCAGCTGCAGACAAGTCCCCTGGGTTTACCCCAGCAGGGCAGGAGTAGGACAGGGGTAAGTGTGGGACCAGGTGCAGGCAGGAGGACTGGGGAGGCTGGAGGGGAAGGGAGCTGCTTGCCCATGCCGGAGGAAAGGCTGGGGAGGGAAGAGCAGAGGGCATGGCTGCACTTTGTCAGCCCCAGCTGGCCGAGGCTGCTGGAGATGAAGAGAAGGGAGCTGCCATGGTCTCCCTAGCCCCTCTGCATCCAGCCCCACAGGGACCCATGTGCCAGGAGGCATGGGATTTACAGGAGCAAAGCAGGGAGGCAGCAGGATAGAGAGGCTGAGGGACAACCTACCTCTCTATGATGCTCAGAGCCACCTCTCCTTTCCAGGCTGCCCCTATGACCCAGCAGCCATCCCCAGAGATGGCCCTACCAGCCCAGATGACTGCTGCAGACACTGAAGCACCTCCACTCCAGGCCACCCGCCGTGGCTC